GAAGCGTCATGTTTTTAGAGAGACACGGTGTTGGGTGTACTCTATTGAATGGCAAAAACGAGGATTGCCTCAGGCACACATTCTAATTTGGCTTATTGAAAAAAAACCACCTTCTAAAACTGATCAGATATCAGCAGAAATTCTTGATGTCACCATAGATCCAGTCTTATTTCAGATCATTGTCCAAAATATGTTTCATGCTCCGTGTGCATCACCATACATGTCTGTTTGAAAATGCACTAATGATATCCTAGAGAATTAACTGCTGAGACTATCACTGGTTTTTTTCACCATTAAATAAAATTTGCATTTCAAATCATAATCGCAAATGTCATTTACACACTTAAATACAAAATTCAAATTGAAAGCGTTGCAACGCACGCAGGGTACAGCTAGTTAAGTTATAAATTTAATATTTTTAATGAATGCAAAGTTGCAGAACTCATATCCAGTCTCCTCTTCCTCAAAAAAATATTCCCCGAATCCCCTAATTTAAAATTTGATTCAACTAGTTTAAGTTCTACATTGAATTTATAATTTCAAGTTATATAGTTATATTTCAAGTTATATAGCGAGTTAAATAAAGTTGTGCTTAAATCTACATAGTTTGGAAGTTGTTTGTTATACACCAGATCAGAACTATTTAAAACCGTAATAAATATTCATATCAAATAACCAAATACTAAAATCAAATCAGTACGGGACGAAATCCTTAAAATTAACTTATATTAAAAAAAAAGGATACTGTATATGGGGAAAAGCTTTTTTTGAATAGATAATATCATAAATAATTCATAAAACTTAACTAAACGTTATGAAATTATAATATAATGCATAAATTCAAAATTCAAGAAAATATGTATTGCGCAAGACTTTTCACAATTTTATAACTATTTTATCTGCATGGGAGGAAATTCGTAACATTTGAATTTACACAAATTAAAAATTCATAAATTGGTGACAGAAAAATTAAATATTGACTTTGTTTCAAAAATTTAAAATCTAGTGTTTGTTGCTGTAGAAATTTTATTCGCAATACTCCATATTTCAACGCAAAAATTAATTTTTAGGAGAAAAATTCATTTTCTGGAATTAAACACAGGATCAAATTCCCGGGATATTTCATCCTATGTTTTATTCCGTTTATAAAAAATTACTCAAGATAAAAATTTTACTCAGAATCTGAAATTTGCCAAAACTATATTCGAATCTGAAGCCATATTACACTAGATTCTATCAATTTTTATATAAAAGCCTTTCGTTATTTTAACAAACTACATCATTAGAATAAATATTTCCTTTGCATTGCTTGATTTGCATCTAAAAAAAAGTACTTACAGTAACACATAGTATTTGCACTACTTACAGAGACTGCATACGTCCTTTTATATTGCGTACACAAAACGAACATTTCATAGTATATATTCATTTGCAAGGTAATAAATTAGAATGACTAGTGGCATATTCTAAGATCTACAAAAATACTAAAATTTTAGGCATCGGTATCAGTTTTAAAGATCCCAGCATACTCTAGAATATAAAATAGAGTAAAAGATTTGTGTTACATTCTGGGCCCGATATAGTTTAGACGGAGCGACCAGATGCCAGATATTTAAGATAGTTGTAGACCCCTGATATTACTATTAACACTCCAAAATACTTTTCGGCATTTAGATTATTAGTATTAATGTTAGTGTTTAGTAAAAGTCAATAATAGTAGCATCAAAGTATTTAGTATTGTAACAGTGTTGCTGATACCAGTTTAAAATACCTGCATCAAAGCCATTTACTTACTAACAATTGGTTTTCCAAAGTACTACTTACTTCATTCTATTACTCACCAATTTTTGAAGGTTCCAAATTAAACTTAAATAAAAACTGATATTTTATTGAAGTGATATTTTACAAGCAATGCAAAAAAATATATTCTAAAGTAAATGAAATTATTCAATTTTCATTGATTTCATGAGTAATACCATATTAGAAGAAAAAGAATTATAATACCGTGTCAAAAATTTCCTCCCTTCTTTTAAGAATTAACTAGTTTTCTTTCCCAAAATTCAACTACAATTCATTATAAAATAGCACTATTGTTTTCTCCTTTTAAAAAACACTTAAAAACTTTTTTATTTAATTGACAATATTTGACTAGACAAAAAAAAAATTTCACTACCTTTGAGAATTACAAACCAAAAGACTGAAAACAGTAGAAATTAAATTTGATAGATAATATTATTCATATTACACCCGCAGTTGCGTTACATGGAGAGGAAGACCACGAGAGCCTCCCACGATTAGCCTGATGGCAAGAGGACTAACCCATGATCTGTCTACCACTGAGGATATTTCACGTCAGCAGTGTGGTCGGTGTAAGCCAGATGCGAAATTCGTAACGACCAGACATCGCTGAGACATAACTGTTTCACCTCAATGGAAGGCGAACGCCCTATCCCCTGAGCCATCGCTGCTTGCCTGGAATATCTTAGTACCAAATGTGAGCTCATAGTTTTATGTATATTTACTATTTCTGACTGTCCCTAACATGTGGAATTAACAGTTTGCATATAGATCCCATTTTTTTCAAACATACAATTTACTTCAGTGTCTTAAAAAATTTACTAAGTCTCATAATCTATCGTAGTTAAGAAAGATGCAGTAAATTTGTAACATATCTGTTTTTAATTGGAAAATGTTGGAAAAAAGATTTTTTTTTAAAAAATAACTAAATTTTAAGGGATTTATAATTTCAATATACATTCTAAAATTTGTAGACTACATGAAAAAAAATTAAGTATAACATCCTATCATAGTTGCATAGAGTTTATTACTAGTGACCAACGAATTATTCGTCCTAATAAAAGTAAAAAATATCTTAACCTCTAAATTTGGAATCTAATAAAGATGGCAATCTAAACCAGGAACTCAAAATGTCGGTTCACGAATTACTGATAAGTGAATTATTTTCTCATGCAATATTCAGTTCTCAAATTATAAATTTTGAAATGAATTTAATTTAAAAATTAAAATACGATGAAAAATATTGTAACAAAAACTTTTAAAATAAACATTTCAAAGAGCGGCTAACTTCAAAACTAAAAATTTTGACCTAAATTTAAACACATAACAGCAAGGTAAACTTAATACCGAGTAATTAAACATGATATTGACGAATAGGTCATAACTATTAATGATTATCTACAGAGATGAGAGTAGTCAGAAAGTAAAAAAGAGGAAATCCAAGAATGAAAGAATATATATATATATACACACATATTTTACGAAAAAGTGCGATTTTTAAACTTGTAAGCCATGTGATTGTAAATCCCGATGATTAATTTTAAAATTCTATGAATATAAATCCCGATATGAGGCTTTTAAATCACGTGAATGTGAAACTCTATATCGAATTTTAAAAAATGCGAAAATACAAATCATGATGCGTAATTTTTAGATCACGTAAATACGAATCACGATGCATAATTTTTAAATCGCGCGAATACAAATCACAATGACTAGTTTTTAAAGCACGTATAAATACGAAAATCGATGTTTGATATTACAATCGCACAAACGAATCACGACATTGGATTTTAAGCTCGCGTGAATACGAATTGCTACATAGGGCTTTAAAAGCTCGTAAATACAAATCGCGATATTGATTTTTTAAATCTCGTAAGTAAGAATCGCACTGTACAATATTTAAATCGCCTGAATAAGAATCGCAACGTGCAACTTTTAAATCAGGTAAATACGAAAATCGATGATAGATATTAAAATCGCGTGAATAACAATCGAGATATTTGCAGAGTCAGGACTTGGGATTTCTAAAAGGCTTGTTTGTAATGTTTTTGTTTCGACCTAATAAATAGAAATTTTCAAGATTAATTGAATGAGCAAATAAATATTTTCACCGCAAATCCACGTCTATATATATTTTATTTTTCGTTTGCTTTTACGCCAGACAACAGGGTCACGACGTCTGAATTGCGAAAATACGAGCTATCCAGCGGACGAATAAAAATACGGAAAATCTTATTTTCTGTGTGTAAAAGCGGAGAAAATAGCTAAAATAAGTAAAAATGCGGAAGGGTTAGCAGCTAGGACATAGTTTGAATCTTCTGTTTATCTTTGAAAATCGTAAATAAATATAATTATTTTATTTCTAAGACTGAATTTTCAAAAAAAAAAAAAGCGGGATATTTATTTTAAAAAAAAACGAAACTTTTAGAGAATCGGATTTTTTGATAAAAAGGTTAAAACTCGAGAGGCAAAAACGAAAAATCTCATCCCTGTATGAAGGTCAATCAGTTTTATCCCAAGGAAATGATTTTTAGAGAACTCACTTCAGAGGGAGGAATGAGGACTTAAAAACTTTCGCTCCGCGGAAAATTAAATTCCTCATAAAATTTTTTAACTTGTTCAAAAAATAAAATTCCGCGGAAATTAGCGGGAAAAATCTGACAAAAAGCGGAAATCCGCGGAAGAATCACATCCTTGTATATACGATTTTTAAATTCTGCATTTAAAGTATGTCAAACAAAAAATTTAATTTTATGAACATAACCTCTTAATAATAGTTAAAAAGTGCACTGTCATGGAACATAAAGTTCTTGAGAAGATTCAATCCAGTCTCAGGTGTGACTCTATCAAATTGAGCTCAGCTCAGGAAAAGTTCATCCAGCATGTAAAATGATAGGCATTTTGAGTGGATTGAGATTGAATAAGCATTGTTAAAATTACGTTTTTTAAATAATTCATGGCGAAAATCATCCTGGCAAAGGGAAAAAAGGCTCCTTTTAGAAAGAAAAAAAATTGGGCAAATATTACAAGCGCTCAATGAAAAATAAGCACCTTTAAGAGCTATTAAAAAACATTAACTCACATTTTCAAGTTATTAGATCAGTCTTGGAAAATAATTTCTGCATCTTGTATTTTCTGACATCATAACATTACATTTCTAATTAAAATGTTTTGAAGAATTAAAAAGGACAAAATAAAACTCATAATTTTGCTGCACTTTATTAACAAAATATAGTATAAAACTATCTAAATTAATAAAAATACATTAGTTAGTAATATTATGATATTGTAAGCTGTAAGCAAAGGAAATTCATGAATCTGAGGAGATATCACAAAAACTATAACATTTCACATAAACAATAAAATATAAGACATATTTGAAAAGTACAAAATTGATATGGCATGCGTGATTAAAAACAGGAACCACTTTTATTACATATTTACATATTATGAAACATGAAAATAAATAGATAATATGATGTAAACTAATATACAACAATCACCAGAGATAAATATTTACAATTTAAGATATATTTTGTGGCCAACGTTTAAAAATAACCATTATGAACTTCATAAAATTTTGATTAATTTGCTCTTTAAATGAAAAAATTCAAATTATTATCAGCAATTTAATTCAACAAAATACCATAATTATTTTAATCAGGAGAAGTGATTTAAAAAATAACATATATTTAATGCTCCAATCAAATTATAGATTAAAATTATGAGTGCAGATTTTAAATGTTTTAGAAAGTAAAGTATTTGAATTGATGACCATGGAACTAAATAATGCAACTTTTAAGTGTTGCAACATTGCAAGAAGCTTAAATCAACTAAAAACAATTTAGTACACCTTAAAAATTAACAAAACATATTATATTTTCTGAAAACGACAAGTAGCACAAGGAAACAGGAAATTTTGAAGGAATGTAATTTGTATAAAATGAATGCAAGAAAAATTATTTTGTAGACAAAAGTACATGTATAGAGTAAGAAATTAATTTTTGCATAACAATATGTAAAATACGGTTTATTTTAATTCTTAAAGAGGACATGTAAAAAATTGCAATACCAAGCATTTAAATGTTTCCATTAAAAACAATAAGAATGTGAACACCTACATAAAACGTATTTCATTTTTAAGAAGTAGACAGTTTCTGACATTTTGTTTCGAAAATATAAATAGCATACGATATATACATGCACTTTCATCAATGAGAAAAAAAAATTTATGTGCATAATTTATACAAATTATATATTATTTCAAAATTTTCTATTTTTCTGTGCCCACCTGTACTTTGCTGAAATTAAAAATTTGATCTATATTTATAAAACATTATAGTATAAAAATATCTGGAGAGCTTGCATGTAACTGTTTTTACATTAAAATTTATCACTTCTCAATGAATTCCTTTTTTCTTTTAAATATTTTTCACTATCATGATCACTATCATCCTTAGTTTTTAAAATAAATCCTTAAAATACATTTGATAAAAAATAAATAAAAATATAATATTTTCTCAGACAATATTGAAATTATTTTTTAGCTGGAAGACAAGGTGCTGCATACATACTATTTTGAGGTTCACAGATTGTTGACATATAATAGAACGCTCAGTCTCTTGGAACTATAAAAAATTCAGAAAAGTAATAATTTCATATTACCCACTAAAACTGTTCAAGAACATACAAAGAAATTGAAAATTTTCAAGAATATAAAATATTTTTTAACATTAATTATAGAAGATTTAATACATTATTGACAGTAAAATACAATAAATCTCCTAATTCTTAATTGAAATCAAAATTTAAAACATAACTAAAATTATCTTTCTTTAAACAAAAACAAAAAAAAGAGGGATCAAATGTGTTATCTTCAAGTTGATAAGCAATTGATGATGAGGGTTAATTCCAAGAAAAAAAAAAATTTCAAAGCTTCAAAATATTTGTCAATTATCTTAAAAAATATTTATTCACAATATTTATTACATATTTATTTGCATTGTATCACAATGGTTGGTTCAGGAATTTTGTCTTCTGAATTTAAACACACAAAAAAAAATAATAAATAAATAAATAAAAATAACAGTTGAAAAGAGAATTTATTAGTGCAATTACCTTTTGCATTGTTGATAAGGAGAACAAACTTAATTTAAAAATTCTTCCAGACATAAAACAATTATTAATCTTTATGAACATGGATAGTCCTGTGTATTAGAGCATAAAAACGTGGGTGCAAGACTTTTAATTGTAATACTTGTCTAAAAATTAACTATTATTTCTTTTTAACACAATGTTTAGTAGTAAGTTGTATCCATGTAAAAAATATCAAATAAAAAAAAATTATTTTAATGTTATAATAAGTGAGTGTAAAAACGGCAGGGTTATAAATATGAAAATATCAAATGAATCTGAAAATTACTAAAAGAAATACAGAATTACAGTGGGAAAAATTAGGAACAATAGCAAATGATGGAAATTCATTAATTTATTTTCGAACTTAGAGTTCAATCAGATTCCACAAGAGATTACTTTTACAAAATTATAGGAATTTGTCTCTAATCACGTAATTTTGTCCTTTTCAATGAAAGTGATAGATTTCTATAACTTGTGTCATCTGTTCTTCAACTTAACAAGGGCTTATAAGTCCTACTTAGTAATGAGCACTCAAGCCTGCTCATGTATGTGTAACAATAAATAAATAAAAAAAAACTTTTAAATTCTACATAATACTTCAAAGGAAACAAACCATCTTTAAAAAAAAGAAGGGGGGAAAAAAGGAAGGGAGAGATTAAGATTTCAAAAATCACTCTCTTTTCAACACATTAATACTGTAAAGGAAAAAGAAAGAAAATGAAGGATTGCAAAATATTAACTTAATAAGTAAAAATACAGTTTTTAGAAATTAGAATGCATATTTTAGCAAATTCAAGAAATAAAATTATCACCCTACTAATGATGACAAGATCAAATAATAAGAAACACATTTTGAAAATTGAACACCCTAATTAACTTAACTAATTACATGTTGTTAAAATTTAAAAAGAATCACATTATGTAATTAAAGCAAGGCAACAAATTATTACACAAAAAATAAATAAAATTATGGTCGCACTAACTAGATTGATGTTTTTAAAAAAATAGTTTTTCATGCAAATTCTGTTAAATAAAAATTCATAAGTACTTTTAATGATTACTATTTTAACTTTGATTCATGACCCTCAACCAATTGACTCTCTTGCACAGAAAATTATTTTTTTTCCCATGTTATATAACAAAGAAAATGTGGTTGGAAGGAAAATTCTTCACACCATAGGTTATTATATGCTAATAAGTTATTAATTTAAAAAACAATTTCTTTAGACATGCTAATGTCAGCCAACAATCAGATTTGAGGACAATGAAAAACTAAATGTAAGTGCTTTACAAACTACTCCAAGGAAAGTGGCTTGGCAACTATTTCCTTTCCCTTGCTAATGAGATCAACCATTTAGCAAAATTGGGAAATTTTGCTAATGGACAATAGTAGCATTTTTAACAGTGGCTATTTTTTAAAAGATATAACCACTTTGCAAAAGTTGAAAAATTTAAATAATTTATTGAACTATTTATAGTAACAATGTAAAGAATTCCTTTTGAAGCATTCCACAAAATATGGTAAATAATTATAATGTTCATTTTTAAAATTTTCAGAAACAAGCGTAAAATAAGCTAATATTTAAATATAATAAAATAGTTTTAAATAATCCCATATTTATTTTTAAAAATAAAATAAAATGCACAAGGAGTACATTTTTGATTTTTAAAAAAAGTGGCTTTCAGGTGGCAACTGTCAGACAATTTAATAATCGTCACTTGGTATATTTAGTTGTCCTGTGAATGGTGGTGGTCAAAAATTTTGCCCCATACTAACGCCAAAATAAATAGAAATTTAGAAGACTGATCAAAAAATTTATTTAAAAAAAAATTTCCAATATATAAAAAATTTTATTGTCTAAAATAAAAAGATCCACCATATGTGTAAAATGTCAATTTTGAATTTTTTGTCACTTACATCAATTTTCCTATTTGCTGCCATGTAGTAGCATATTATTTTGTAATATTATTAAAATTCACCCCAAAACAGTTTAAAAAGTTAGCATGATTCAAATTGTTGAAAAAAATTCCAGCAATAAAAAATTTATTCAGCAAACAAATTAACACACTAAGGTCACATTTCATAATTCTTAATGATTTCAAAGATGCAACACCCTTATGCTAAAAAGCATAACAAAAACTAATAAATATTATGGCAGTGAATAAATTATAAATATCAGTGAATCACAACTGCCTCTAATTTTTTTCTTCGTTATATATATATATATATATATATATATATATATAANGATGGACTTATATATATATATATATATATATATAAACTGTTAATTTTCCAGTTTCAAATCACGTTCCTTACGCTTCAACATTCTTCTCTGATATTCATAGTCTATATCATCTACTTTTAGAAATAAAAGCATATATATCAACAATCCACACGTTAAGAAAAGTCTGTCTATTTGCATGACAGGATGAACAAGAAGAATCACAGTTAAAGTGGAAAAACAAGGATGCCTCATGTGAGAATAGAAACGCTGCAAACCTTCGGATTTCAGACCCAGAGGTTCAGGCCAATTCTGAAGACTGTGGTGAACCTAGAAACATAAACATACAATTTTATAGTAATAAAATTATGAAACAAAAGATTTTCTTTGCTAAGCAAATGAGAATATTATGTTAATATAAAGGGAGCAAAAAAAAAGCCTAGTAGTGAAAAAAAAATCACTAACCCAGTTGTAAAACAAAAGTATAAAAAACCATCAGTATAAGTATCACCAGTATAAAAAAATATTAAAAAAAATTTAAAAAACCTACAGATTTCTCTAAGAAAAACCTATTGTAATAATAAATATGTGATGAGGTTAAGTTTTTTAAAAGAATCAAGAGTTTGAAAAGAAAAAAACTATAGCTTTTGGCAAATTAAATAAATAAATTAACATAAAACTCTAAATTGTAAAGTAATTAAATTAATCTTAGAACATAAAGTAACAAATAGATTATTCATTAACAAACCTAAATAAAAGCTTGGGTTAAAATATTTTTTAATGAAATTTATTTTAAAAATGACAATAATATTTTTATTAAAAATGCAATGATATTAATTATAATTTAGAATAATAAATAACTTTTAATGACTGAACTGTAATTGACTGATGATAGAACTTTATGAAATCCACTATAAAACCAATTTTTCATGCATTTATTATTTATTTATTACTTTGATAATCCATTCTCCAAAAGAATTACAAATAATAAAATTAATCTGCAAATCACCATAAAGATTGTAGATTATATTGAAAGTTACATTTTTTTGGAACATTGTTATCCAATTAAGACACATGGTAAGATAAGTTTTAACATTTTTTTATTTAAAAGAAATTCAACATTCTAATTTTCAAATAAAATTTTATAAATATAATTTTTTTTAATTTATGTAAAATTTTACAGAGTCAAGAAGTTATTCAAAGATTTAAAATAAAAATTTGCAACAGCCAGATTTTTAAAATAACATTTAAAAATAGCTTATTTTGAAACTCTAATTAACATTAACTTTTTTTTACACAACATTTCAAAATTAAACCATACATAAGTTATAATAACAAAAATTTGTTTCTTAAAAGACTTCACAAAGAAAAGGGCAAAAAGAAAAGCAAGAGACCATAATCAAAGACACAATTTTATATTTACGAAAAATATTTAAAAAAATTTAAAATATTAACAGATGTAGTATGAAGAAATTTTTGGCAACTTAAACAATATAAGTATATGGAAACTTAAAAAACCTAACCTATTTATTACAATAATAAATAAAATTAAATAAAAATTAAAATTATCATGAAGTTTCAATGTTTCTAAAAGCAATGGTTTCAGAAATAAAATGTTTCCTAAATAGAAGAAAACTACAGTTCCTTGATATTTAAGCACTTCTTTTTGCATTGAACTTTAAAAACTCAACTTTTAAAGAATGAAACTTACTCCCAAGTTATAAATATTTTATCACCAATGGGGATTGCAAATTACACACCCTGATCTAAGGTACACCATTTTAAAATATTAATTGTAATTTAGAAAAAAATTAATTTTAATGACTGAACCGACTTTACAAAATTATCTGCAAATTATTCAGATGATATACCACCAGATTCAAGTCATCAATTTATTTTATTTTACAACAATAAGTTAAAACATATAAAGAGACTAACTCACTTTTACATTTAAAAAAACTTCAAAAATTAGAACATTTCTTATTAAAAATAAGATTTCTTTTACACTTAAACAGTCTTAAAATTGAGGAATACAAAAAATAGATAAATAAAATGAAAGAATAAAAAAAACTATATGATAGCAAAAAGAGAAGTTAAAAAATCTTATTAAGTTTCTCAGAAAACAGATTAAATAAGACTTCAATAATGCAAAGTTCACACAAGCCAACCTGTTTAATCCCAAGAAGTTCAGTAATATCCATTATAAAGCAACCGCTATAAATAATCAACCATGCTATTGAATGTATGATGGTAAAAAACCACCAAACATAATCTTTATCAGCTGTAGATATTTCCCAAATTGTCCAGCTGTGCACAGATTGCCAAAAGGTCATAAGTATCTAAAAAACAATATGCATTTTTAATTTAAAATTTTAGAAGTAAAAAGTCAGGCATCACAGATTCAACAACAGTTAATTCATAATTTCATACTTTAATATCAAAAGTCATAAAAACAAATTGAATATTCATATGAATTAAAAAAAATTTAGATAAAACTTACTATTTAACTTTTTTTACTGGTGATCGCAATGCTCAAATACGCCATTTAGGGAGAAGACCGGTCCCATGCCTTACGCCCTTTTCTCTCCTCCTATTTTCAGCTGTATAGTAATGTACTACAATATTTTTTCCTTTCTCAATATTTTTGTATTTAATTGTTAATAATATTTTTAAAATTTCCATAAATATTTCTTTTCAAACTATGTTTAATGAAGTTTACAGTTCCAAATAGTTTCCTAACTTAAAAGATTTTAATCTATTTGCAAATTACGATCGAAATTAATGTATACTTCCTTCTTCTATGACTCTCCACACACTAATGGTGAAAGCATGCGAAGTGTTGCCATCGGAAGAGAGTTCTGCTCTACGCCAACTGTAGACCCATTTGGACAATCAATAAAAAAATTTAATCTATTTACCTTTTAAATATTTTTTATTTATATATATATATATATATTGCAAGAAGGCTTAACATGTCAATTTGTATCATCTCTAGCTTTATAAAAACAGCCATTTAATTCCACCCTTAATGGTACACCATATGGCAATGAAATATGTATAACTTTTTACTATTTGCCACTTAAACCATGTTTTTTCTTTAATCACAGTCCTTAAAGGTAATTGTTTAAGAGTTAAGAGCATTATAACAAAATATAAGACAAATTCCAAGTAAAAAAATTGAATACTATAATAGGCTTAAAAAAATTTCACTTTTTAAAAAAAAAAAAACTTTTAAAATAGAGTGTATTTATAACATTTTAAAAATTTATAATGTTGCTGATGAAATTTTTTTAATTTAAAGTCATCAAAATACAAAATAATAATAATAACTTAGTAATTACTTGAAGGGCCAAGCATGATCCAAAATTATAAAATAACCTTTCCACAGATGCCAAACCAAATTTAGACATGCTATCTTTAACTATCTTCTGCTTTTGGAGAGAATGTTGCAATACAAACATAAGAAGTAAAGAACCATCTTTAAAAAGGTGCAACAAAACACTATCTGTGAAAAGAAAATTAGATATTAGAGTAAATTATATTGAATATTTGAAAAGAAATAACAAATAATAATGATGAAGAGAAATAATAAGGAATAAAGTAAAAGAAATAAAAAAAATTCCAAGGGTCAAAACAGCAACATCTACAAACCAAATCTTAAAATATAGCTTAACTTAGATAAGCCCAAGGTTTTAGAGTAAATAATGGCATTATGATATTCCTTCAATGAAATGTAACAAATATTAAGCAGAAACTAAATAGGTACCCAGCATATTCAGAATACAGTCACTGGTCAAATTATTAGATGCACTTTAAGATTCTGTATAAAATCTTAATTATTAGGTGATGCTATACAGCTTTGTTTTTACATGGCTGAAAGCGATTCGTACTTGTTTACGTTCTTACGTAACTGGTTAACATAATAATGCAATTCGTTAGAAATAAATACAAATAGAAGGTATATAAAAATCTCTTGAATAAAAGCCCATAACATGTATGTTTAAATATAAAAGTATTGCATATAAGCACATGCAAAACATGTAATTATTAAAATTATTAAAATTATATATTATAATTTATTAACATAATACCTGGTATAATAAATATTTTATGTTTACATTATATATCGCTTAATTTATCCAATCCTTTAATTTATCCAATCGTCAAATTTACCCAATCGTCAAATTTATACTAAATATCATTTAATTTAACTGATTGATAAACGAATGTAAACAAGTGCAAATCAGTTTCAGTCAAAACGATAAAGCTGCATAGTATCATCTGATAATTAAGATTTTACTTAGAATCTTAAAGTGCCTCTAATATTTGGCCAGGGACTGTACCTCAATATTGCCATTGGTATTTTGTATACTTCTATTTAACATAAGTTTTATGAATGAAACATTTAAATGTTATGTTTTATAGATAGCTTAATCTTGATATTTAAGAGAAATTAAATGGCTTTTCAATATTACACTCATTATACAGTGAAAACTCTTGGGAGCGATCACTCTCTGTTCTACAGTAAAATGGCCGTTAATGGAAGTTGGTCGCCAAAAGGTTTTTGCAAAAATTTCATAAATATTATGTAAAGGTTAGCTATGAGTTATATCTTTCACCTTAAGCTCGTCCATTTCTTTTATTTCATAATTTCTTGAGGGTAACTGCCTGGTTCTAGCCGAAAATTGAGTTTTTTGGAGCAAGTACCGATACGAAAATATTCCCAGCTACGAGTTATTTATAGCCTTCGATTTGGTCACCTCGTGATGTTATATGTCACTCGCAAATCACTAACCGGTTGTCATCAAAATTTGGCGGCTTTCATGAAGTAACAACACTATAAAACAATAGCAAATAACTAGATTATACTATAATTACCATTTTTTTCGTACAATGAAAGATGGTGATCTTTTAGAGCTGAATGCGAAGATAAGAACAATCCAAATTGAAAAAGTGTAGCGATACAAAATAGCAAAACAAAAACAGTAACTAATAGAAGTAAATTATTATTGACAGCCATATCTGTGTCTTTAGTTTTCAGTCATATGGAATTATAGCAGTTAAAGAAATGTGGAAATAAATATCTAACAAAATGATCAAGAAAACGAAAGCGCGGCGGGAAGCATTTTTGTTTTGTTTAAATTTGTAGTTTGAAAAAGATTAGTTGTCAATGAGGAGTTTTTCATATTTTCTGTCATTTTATATAATAACTCTTTTAAATATTTTTAGCAATCTTTTGTTATTGAAATCATCTCAATACATGTTAAAAAATTTATAGTTCAAAACTTGCAGTTTTTTGAGGCCTTGAATCATAATTCCGTGAATGGTGCTTAAGATTGGCAACAGTTGGAACATTCTATTATTATTAAGTGTTCGATTATATGTCTATGATTGTTCGATAAGAGATAGAATGTAATTTTTATTTTAAATAGAGAAAAAGAATTCAATTACATGGTAATTATTACGTTAAATAACTTAAGTGAAGTTCTAAGATTTAAATGTAACTTAGGTTCAGTTCATTCTTATCTCTATTGTAGAATGTATAAAATATAAATTCATATGGTTGCCATATTATAACGTAGTATTCTTTTGTTAATTAATAATAACCATTTTAATTTTCCTTTGTCTGCCTCTGAAAATATGCATTGTCTTTTACTACACAAAAACTACTTGAAGAGTAATCATAACTACTTTTTCAATAAGGCCCCTTTATTAAGTTTGCATTGAATATTGTTTATGAGTGAATGAGAAAGCCAATAATTATGGTACAATAAGTTTCGTATAATGAATGTAAATAATCTAAAACTTATAATCTTCATAGCATATGTTGTTGTAGGTAATAATTACAGGCAATGCATAAAAACAATGAATATTTTAATGCTAAATTTATAATTCATCAACAATTCATGTTAAGATAGATATACAATTTAAGCCATTATTAGGAAAATTATCTAGGGAGGAATATATTATGAAAATAATATATTAGGAAAATTATCTAAGCTAAGTGTGTTTATATAAGTACAATAAAATTCTTTTTTGCCTGCTTTTTTTATTTCCTATATTTTTACATTTCTCTTTGTAGGGATTTCAGGCAATAAGGTCAGCATTTTTCTTTTTCTGGGCAATATTTTCTCATAGTTGTTTTACAACTATAATAGCCCTGTGGTTTAACACTGAGCTGTCATAAACTAGGGTTTTATATTTAGTGGCATGTAAGACCTAAGAAATTGTCATTTGTTTGGTGCGCAGTCCTGACCACATTTCTTAACCCAAGTTGTTTCTCTTATTCAATTTTATTTTATATTTGTCATTGCCTAGTTATTGGCATAGCTTGACAACCTTTATGGTAGATGTACCAATTAGGAAATCTCCCCAATTCAATATTCATTTAAACGCAAATCATAAAATTTGTGGTATTTCGGCTACAATTCATTCTTACTGAGCTTTTTTTTTTTTTTAAGTATATAATGTAGAAACATTTTTGAAGCAAGTTGCAAAAATTTATCAAGAAATCTTTAAATTCTTGAAGGTTCTTTAAAATAATAGTATTAATCTTTTATTTAACTGCTTTTTAAAAAAGTCAAAATTAAAAAATTAGTGTATTATTAAATGAATCTTCTTGCAATATTTTATTAAGTATTGTTTAATTTTCCAGATGATGTCATCTAAGGCACCTCGCAAATTGATTAAGAATATGAGAGGTTCTCCAATACGAAAGGAACACATGATGAAGAGACCGGGTCGCTCAGGTTCCCCAATAAGAAGTTCTGGGAACTCTAGGTAAATTTATTATTTCTTTATTTATTTTATGTAACTTTTAATAAACAATGGAATCCAAGTTCATTAAAATAAAAGTCGCTATTGAAAGAAATTTAAAAGTAGATATTTTTTAAAATATTTATATATTTTCGAATATTCTATTGGCCGAATATTTGACCAAATATTCGGCAAAGTATTATTTTGAAAATTATTTTTTTAACTAAGTTTTTTTTTATGGGGGGGGGATTTTAAAAGATTTAATAAAGGATAATTTAAAATCTCATTTTTTACTTATTTTTTACACATATTTGTTATGTTCTAAAATTTGTTTGTGTCCTGGAAGACAGATTGAAAAGCAAAATTTGATACTAGATTACTCTATACTGAACCATGTGTTTTGTAATGCTGTTTTTTTTTCCTTACATTCATGCCAGTCAATTTCATTGTTTTTTCAACGCTTTACGTTTTATAATGTGAGAACTTTTTTTCTGTTCTGTTTAATAAAGTTAGAACTTTTTTTATTATAACAGCATTTTTTCAAGAGCGTTTCTAATATGCATTATTCTTTTATGGTCACTTTTTTCTGTAAGTATGGCAATTTGAAAAAGTTAAATTAAGATATTTAGCTTTAAAAATTAAAAACGATTTTTATTTTGGTTTATAAATTAAAAACGGTTATATGTTTATTGTTCAATATAACAAATATTAAACTTCTGTTAGACTCTTTACTTTTTTTAATTAAAAATATGGTAAGGAGATGAAATAGTTTAATCATCTTTCTGGTTGTCAAAAAATTTCTGTTTGTGTGACTTGACTCCCCATCCTCCACAATCAAAAACTGTCTCCTTTGCCAAGTTCCAAAATGTATATCTCCCTTAATTATTTTTGGCTTCATAATTTTAGGTTTTTCACTTTTTTTTTTTTTTTAATCTTCTCTGGTCTATGTGGGGGAACTTTGTGGCTGGCATTCTTGAAATATGTGCAATCCAGGTCCTTCTTATATGTTTGATTTCCTTGTAGAGCTTTTTTTTTTATGTAATTGTTCGTTTGAAATAACATAAGAAAAAGTTAAATATCCCGCAGAAAGCTTTAGCTTGAAAAGTGTTTAAAGAATTTTCTTACGATTCTGTTGAATTTTAATACTTGCTTTAAAATAAAAATTTATGTTAATCCTCTTTCTGAAATCTAAGGTTACCCTACAATTATTGGAAAAGTGTGAACACACTCTAATGTGTACAAAACCGTTACTTTGACAAGTGGCATCAGTTAATTGATGTTTTTGAGACTGTCAATTAATTGGAACCTTACAAACTCACTCCATGATGTAATAGATTATTAAATAATTTTTATATTTATTTACCAAAAATATTAAGATTTGAGAAAATTAAAAAGTTTTATTTCTTTTTTTCTATTTCTTTGTTTTTCTTCCCTTATTTCCTATATTTTCTATTATATTCTTGGTCATTGCCATATATGCATAATATACACAAGTGCACAAAGTATGTTCGTGAAAATTTGTCATCATCACGGTAATATTTTTTTAGTACACTCATTATGTCGATAGCCAAAATTTCCCATATTCGTGCTGTTATCTATGTTGTTGTTACTCATCCCCTGGGTCTAAGAAAGCCTGTCCTCAGGCGGCGGGGTCCAAAAGACCCCGTCGCTTGAGAACATCGAAAATCTTCTCCTGCTCAACCAACAGCTGCCTCCAGGAAGCTCCTAAACAATTGAGGAAACAAGAGCAAGGAAAAAAGATCTTTTCCCCATTCAGAAATTTCATGCTACTATTTAGCTATTATCTATTGTGGAATGAATAAAGCAAGAAACAAGACTTTTTGAGTAGAAGAATTGAAAAGTCATTCAAATAAAAATCTTCATCAAATGTTAGCATTGTTCTTTCTCAGCTACTTAGAATTTACGTATATACAATGAAAGGCAAGTATCAGGTAAAACAAGATGTGTCAATAACTAGTTTTATAATACAAAAAAGTGCTAAATTCAGGGATGTGATTCTTCCGCGGATTCGCGGATTTCCGCTTTCTTTCAGATTTTTCCATTTTCCCCGCTAATTTCCGCGGAAATTTTTTTCTTGAACAAGTTAAAGTATTTTATGAGGAATTTAAATTGCCGCGGAGAGGAAGTATTGAAGTCCTCATACCTCCCCCTGAAGTTTCTCTAAAAATCATATCCTTGGGATAAGACTGGTTGACCTTTAATACAGAGATTTTTTTTCGCTTTTGCCTCTCGAATTTCAGCCTTTATATAAAAAAAACTCCGATTTTTTTGAAAATTCAGTCGTTGAAATAAAATAATTATATTTATTTACGATTTTCAAAGATAAGCAGAAAATTCAAACTACGTCCTAGATGCCAACCTTTCCGTATTTTTACTTATTTTCTCCGCTTTTACGCACAGAAAATAAGATTTTCCGTGTTTTTATTCGTCCGCCGGATAGCTCGTATTTTCGCAATTCAGGCGTCGTGACCCTGTTGTCTGGTGTGAAAGCAAACGAAAAAAAAATAAAAAATAGAGGTAGATTTACAGTGAAAATATTTATTTGCATATTCAATTAATCTTGTAAATTTTTATTTATTATGTCTAATCGAAAACAATTCAAACAAGCCTTTTAGAAATTCCAAGTTCTGATTCTGCAAATATCTCGATTCTTATTCACGCAATTTTAATATCAATCATCGATTTTGGTATTTACCTGATTTAAAAGTTGCGCATTGCGATTCTTATTTACGCTATTTAAACATCGTACATTATGATTCATATTTATGAGCGTTTTGTATTTATGCATTTTTAAAATCGCGATTTTTATTATCAAACATCAATTTTCGTATTTACCTGANCAGAAATGTGCACATTTTGAAACCCATCTTTGAAATGGAAAATACAGAAAGCAGTTTAAAAGATACTTATTTTGTTAGATTAAACAAAAAATTATTATTAAGTAAATGTAGTTATACTTTAGTAAAGTGTACAAGCATTCTTGCCCATGTCTTAAATTTAAAAAAAAAAATTTTTTTTTGAAATAAAACTTAGGTGATCATTATTTACCCCAGAAACAGAGTGATTGTGAATTACCCCGGGTCACCCTAAGTATTATAATCGCAATATATTTCTCATAAAGGCGAAAAGTGAAATAACTAATAAAAATTATTGAAAAACACTTATTCTTAGACATAAATTAAATTTAAGTTTTCTTATATTTTAAGTAATAACCTTTGATATTTAATGATAGACTTCTGAAAATTTCATTGTTTTTAGAATCAGGGATGTGATTCTTTCGCGGATTTCCGCTTTCTTTCAGATTTTTCCATTTTCCCCGCTAATTTCCGCGGAAATTTTTTTCTTGCACAAGTTAAAGTATTTTATGAGGAATTTAAATTGCCGCGGAGAGGAAGTATTGAAGTCCTCATTCCTCTCCCTGAAGTTTCTCTAAAAATCATATCCTTGGGATAAGACTGGTTGACCTTTAATACAGAGATTTTTTTCGCTTTTGCCTCTCGAATTTCAGCCTTTTTATAAAAAAACTCCAATTTTCTAAAAGTTTCGTTTTTTTTTTTTTTTTTTTTTTTTTTTTTTTTTTTTTTTTNTACGATTTTCAAAAATAAGCAGAAAATTCAAACTACGTCCTAGATGCCAACCTTTCCGTATTTTTACTTATTTTCTCCGCTTTTACGCGCAGAAAATAAGATTTTCCGTGTTTTTATTTGTCCGCCGGATAGCTCGTATTTTCGCAATTCAGACGTCGTGACCCTGTTGTCTGGCGTGAAAGCGAACGAAAAAAAAATTTCAAAAAATAGAGGTAGATTTGCAGTGAAAATATTTATTTGCTTATTCAATTAATCTTGTAAATTTTTTTTTATTATGTCTAATCGAAGACAATTCAAACAAGCCTTTTAGAAATTCCAAGTTCCGACTCTGCAAATATCTCGATTCTTATTCACGCGATTTTAATATCAATCATCGATTTTGGTATTCACCTGATTTAAAAGTTGCGCATTGCGATTCTTATTTACGCTATTTAAACATCGTGCATTATGATTCTTATTTACGAGATTTAGAAATCCAATATCGCGTTTTGTATTTATGCATTTTTAAAATCGCGATTTTTATTATCAAAAATCGATTTTCGTATTTACCTAATTTAAAAGTTGAGCGTTGCGATTCTTATTCAGATGATTTAAATATTGACATTGGAATTCTTATTTACGAGATTTAAATACCCAATATTGCGATTTGTATTTACACGCTTTCAAAACCCTATGTAACGATTCGTATTCACGGGAGCTTAAAATCCAATGTCGTGGTTTGTTTTTACGGTTGTAATATCAAACATTGATTATACGTGCTTTAAAAGTTAGACAATGTGATTTGTATTCGTGCAATTTAAAAATTATGCATTGCGATTCGTATTAACGTGATCTAAAAATTATGCATCATGATTTTTATTTTCGCGTTTTTTAAAATTCGATATAGAGTTTCATATTCGCGTAATTTAAAAGACTCATATCAGGATTCATATTCTCTCAATTTAAAATCATGCATGTGATTCATATTCATATATTCATACAATTTTAAAATTAATCATCAGGATTTATAATCACATGGCTTACAAGTTTAAAAATCACACTTTTTTTGTTAAATTTCTGTATATATATATATATATATATTCTTGGATTTCCTCTTTTTTGCTTTCTGACTACTCTCATCCCTGTAAATTTAAAGAAATAAATGCTGGTATATCTAATAATCAATATGAAGATTTATAACACTTTTTTTAAAAAAAGCAGCAACTTTTGTCAATATTAGGCAACGATAAAGGTCCAAAAATTGCTTACATAAGGTTTTTTAATGGAGATCGTGTTCACAGAAAGTTTTCCAATTTATCTAAATCTGGTTATTGCTTTATGGTAACTGTCTGAGAACATGGTGCATAGCGTTTTTAAAAAGTGCTTGACGGTGCTTATTTTAGATTTTCGTTTTTTGAAAGCCCTTAAAGGTGCTTTTTTTTCATTGGGGTTTTTTAAAAAGTGCTTAGTTATCCCTTTTCGAAAATGATATTTTTTTTTCCTTCTTTAATCGCGAAAATCAACTTGGTTAATTGCGATTTTCGCCACGTATTGTGCAAAAGCGTGGTTTTTACATTGTTCTACTCAAAGTTATTCGCAATCTATTTCGGTGAACCGTCGTTCTACAGCGTATAAAAACTCTTATCATTTTACATGTTTGATTAAATATTTGCGAGTTCACATGTGCATATACTGAGCTGGGTTCGGTGAGATTATTGCACTCTCATGTGCAACTCTGCTGCATTTTGCAAGATATTCTCAATTTCAGGCTTCACTTTCCACCCTCTTATATTGAAATGAAGAATCTCAATCATTTTATAATGGCTAATGTAATCAAGATAAGAGTTCTTTGTCTGAAACTGGTTATTTTATCTTCATCATATAAAGTCTTTGAAAATTATTTTACATTTTGTTAATGTGTATAGTGCTTAAAAATATTTTTTGAGTGCTTAAAAAGTACTTAAGGGAAGCATTTTTTTGGAGAGCCCTGTTTAAATCTGATGTTTTAAAGGTTGCTGTCAGTATTAATTAGTGTATTTCTACCTTTTTTATATAACCAGATAACCACATCCTTATTTTCCATTCACAATTTAACTTAGTAAATATTATTATAAATTTTGCTGCTTAAAGTTTTTTAATCATTAACTTATTTCTAGACCTCCTATAAAGCACCTGTCACCAGGAATGAAGAGAGGACATCTTATATCATCTTCTAGTAAAAGTATACATCCATCAAGAATGCGGTCTATAACTTCTCCTCCTCGTAGATCTGTCCCACGTCATAGCATGCCAGGCTCTCCAGATTCCATGGACAGGTATCATCTTTCTTGATTTGATCTGAGTCATCAGGAATGACACCTGAAATACCAAGTCTAATCTGCTAGGTTATGTTTGGCCCGTGAGAAGAAAATGTTTCTGTCTACAAAATGAAACTCGCATCATTATAAATTTCTTTTTATTTCCTCAACACAATGAAAAAGTTTTAAAATTGGTTGTATTATTCTTAAAGGGAAAATTTGGTCTTATCAGTTCAAGTTCTGTTTTTCTTGCTTAGATATGATTCACTGGCAATGCCAATTTCTACAAATTGAAATTCGCAGCCTTAAACTGCTTTACTTCTGCAAGTTTGTGGAAAAGTTTAAAATTGGTTTGTCTTATTCTTGAGGGCAAATTTGAATCAGTCCAACTTTGAAACGTTTCTTTCAAGATGAATTTTGAAAATCATTTCGTAAAGTTTTAAAATGGAGAAGATAATTATTCATATGACAAGAAAAGCTACATAAATTAATCCTTTAAAATATTAGTTCCAGTTTATTTTTTATTTTTTTTTAGTATGAATTTGACTCATTAAAAGCTGATTTATTCCTCCTTTTATTTAAAAGAAAAAGAACCATATAATTTTACCTAGAAGATTAAAATAATGAAGAATAAAACTCTGAAAAGCTGACATTTGAAAGAAAAAGTAAAATGTGACTGATAAAATTGAACTATGAAAATTAGCAATTACAATGATACGTTGAAATTTGATATGCTGATTACAGAAGTTAACCTAAATGAAATGTTCTATCCATGTATAATTACAGCACCCATATTACTCGCTATTAAATCTAGTGCATGGATTATCTAGTGAATTAAACACATAAGGGCCTGGTCATTGTTAAAAAAATCCTTTCATAATAATTGTAGTGAAAATTTTTGTTGAAACAATACCCCTTTAATCAAAGACTAATTTAAATATAATTAGAAACCTGTTAACAGTGGACAGTTTCTATGAGAATTTAAGTGACTTTATGTTAAAATAAATTGTAAAATGTGAGTGTTACTGTATGTTTGAAAATACATAAAGGAAAGCAGTTTGTGATAACTCTCTCTGGAATTTGAAATAAATTCATCATCTTTATGTAATAAATAAATAAGTATTTGTAATTCTTACATTTTCCTTGTGAAACAAAAAAAACAGAGACATTTTGGAATAATAGTTGGAGATATATAAATGATAAATTTATCACTTATATAAGCATTTTATCATGTTTCTCAGTATTGAGTTCGGTCAAATATTTCAATTACTCAGTTCATCATGCTCAACAGTGGTCAATCATTTCAACTGTCAATAAATTTCAGAGGAAATTTTTTTAAAAAAAGTTTGTAAAGGAATTAAGAAATAAATTGTTTATTAACGATCTTGAAGTATGATGTTGATGAATGGTAAAGAATACTTATTTCCAAAATTGATGCATGAAAAAAGAAGTTTCTCTTTGAAGTTTATTTTCATCTTTATTTGCTTAAAGAAGATAATACTAACAAGGATTTGTTGGGGAGAAAAAATTAGATAAAAGAATTTTTTCAGAAATAGAAAAATAATTTAAATTAATTTTTTTATGAGTTGATATGTGTGCTTACCATGCTTACTTCTCTTTAGTTGATTCTGTTTTAATCAAAGCTGCAAGACATTTTGAATTCAACAGTAAAAACAAAAAAAATTCAACCATGAATTATTTTAAACCAAAAATTATTCACTTGATTTACTATTTAAGTTTTTACTTTAACCATGGAAACCAGTTAATAATGTGTGATTCTTTATCAATACTTTGTTGTTGCTATTAACATCGAAGGAAACTAATATTCTGAGGAATTCTTTTAGCTTCTATATTTAGTATTTTGTGCAATTAGTTTCAATTGGAAAAAAAATTTTAGATAATGTTTTCAAGGTTTGAATAAATGAAATGAGTCACAGGAAGAATAAATACATAACTTATAATGAAATGTTAGTAAGTTTGATGAAAGTGGTATGCATTATTAGTTTCCCCTGCAAAGAGCTTTTTACAGGAATAAAATTTATAAGGTACAAGTAGAAAATATTCGGGCTAAAATATAAATATTGTTATATGCTGGACTTTTGGTAAATCATAGTATCTAAGACAGTATTAAGACAGCAAATTGCATAATTCACTCTATATATTAGAATTATGATATTTATAGGAACTAAAAATCATTGATTTTCGTTTATTAATTTTTTTAAGAAAGTGGAAGCTATTTAAATTGAATACTTATCACTGAAATTGCTTTGTGTTATTTTGCTGAAGTCAGGAGCATGTTTACATCTTTGAAAAGTTTGCTATCATTTCTTGACACCTGATGATTTGAACATACTGCTTTCTCTAATTTCCTACGTGTATAAAAATTATTGAAGACATTAAAGAATATAACAAAATGCTTATCACTGAAATTGCTTTGTGTTATTTTACTGAAGTCAGGAGCATGTTTACAACTTTGAATAGTTTGCTATCATTTCTTGACACCTGATGATTTGAACATACTGCTTTCTCTTATTTCCTACGTGTATAAAAATTATTGAAGACATTAAAGAATATAACACAATGCAGTGACATCGCATTTCTATAGCAATTATCAAATGCTTGCATTGAATGATGAGACTTCTTGAAAAATCAGAATAACCTTGAAAATAATATAAATAGTTTCAGCTATTATTGTAAGATCATAATAGCCTTTTTTGTATTTGCTGAAAAGGAATATTTCTTGTGTGCTCAAGCAATAAGTCCTAAATGAATAAAGAATTACTGAGTTACTACAGAAAATATGTGCTGCAGCTCTGATGGACTTGGATCCTAATGCTGATAAGTGCCACAGGCATGTTAATCCATTATTACAACAATCACGGAAACAGATTGTTTGATGATTTATCTGATTTTAAATGCAATTCAATGAACATAATCTATAATTTATTAAAATCTCTACATCTTCTCCCCATTGCATTTTACTGCCATAAAAACTGGTCGTTTGATAACATGGTTGCTGTTAATGACATTTTTAAAAAAATTATTTAAGTGTAATGCAAGGAACAAAAAAAAGAAAATGAATGAAAATCTCTACATCTTTCCTCAAATCCATTTGATTTATCAAATAGTTGCTATTAAATGGAATTAAATTCAACAAATAGAGAGTAAATTAAAATCCTCCATTTTATGAATTTAATAGGAAGATAATTATTTGTGTAATACAAGCAATAGCTCATTTAAAAACTTCATTCGGTTCAAGAATATACCAATTGAAAATAACAGTCTACGTGCTTCAAGCACTTAAAAACAGGTGCCCATTTTCAAGACTTGCGAGGCGTGAATGAGAAGAAACAAAAGTGATTTGAAATATAAAGCAAAAAGTTACTAATGGAGAAATAAAGGTGAGAAACAAAACTAGAAGAACCTAAGTACCCGAAGGAAAAGAAAGTCAGAATAAAATGCATTTCCATGCACAATGAAAAGATGGTATGGAACTAATAATTTTAGCAAGGGAATCAGTATTCATATGAACAAAACAAGATTCCAGAGCATTAAGATGAGTTGATGTGATTTGGGGGGGGATAATTTTGGCATGGTTGAAAATGAATTTATATCCAAGATTCCAATATAACAAGATTGTTGAGAATGAACTTATCTATTGTGTTCTTTAAGTCTAAATTTTAAAATGTTATTTTATTGACAAGGAATTAGGTAAATGCCCCAGCGATTATCAAAACTAATTTAAGCTATTGTGTATTTTGTAAAATAGTGTAGCAAACAAAGCTTGCAAACCAGAAAGAACGCTAGACTAATATAATTTGTTGCTATTTATAATCATAAAAAGGGATCCATGCTTCGTTTTAGAGTTATAGAACTATGCATTCTTTATTAAAAAACTATATCTTATTTTAACCCATAAATAATATTTTTTTCTACTGGTTATTGAATTAAATTGTAGAGCATGAAAATAGAATGTTGAATGAAATATGAACTAATATACCTCATGTATTTTCTGATAAAGGTGATGATATTTAAAATATTCATTTTTATTATTACTAGCTTGTTTTGAGATTAATTTTGAAAAAGGTAGTTAATGAAAAATACTCATTAAGATTTTAAGAGCTACAGTGTAACATCTCATCTTAAAGTTGAATAAATTGTTATTCAATGTAATAAATTAATGAAGAAATACTGATGAAGAAAAATGATATGAGTTTTGTGTATTACAGTAAATAATAAATTGTTATTAAATAATGAAGGACGGAAGAAGAAAAACTTTTGAATTCAAAATATGATTTGGAAAATGAATGAAACCTTGTCAAAATTATTAGTTACGTTGATTTTGACTCTTAATATTTTGAGTTTTTACAAGGGTTGAATTTAAGAACCTAGTCTTCTCATTTTTTTCCTACTCTTTTTAAGTACTTTTCACAAATATTTTCATTATAGTAAAAAATTTAAGAAATAATTATATTACTACAATAAACTTCATATTCTGTAAGTTTATTTTAAAATATTTTAATGTATATGTAGTTATGCATTCCATTTGTTAATATTGGTCACAGAAAGCTAAATGTTTATACGTGTTTACTTTATTTATTTGTATTAAAAAGGGAATGGGACTCAAAATAATTTAATCAAGACAAGAAAATGATTTGTTGTCTTGTAAATTTTATAAAATTAGTGTTATGTCATATTCTTTTATAACTTACATAATTAATCTCAGTCTTCAAATAATTGTTCAAAACTCCTAATGTCTTACTAATCAGTTGCAAATTAAAAATTTTATTGGAATAAATTGCTACTTTAATTATCAATTCCTACAATATGTATATATATATATATATATGTATTTCCCCCCTTTATTTACTTGTAACAGTAAGAAATTAGTTAAAACTGAATTTTCTATCAGCATAATACTTATCCCCAAAAAATGTTTGGAGCATTTTGCAATTTTTATAAAAATTACACTAAATCTTAAGTATAAATAACAAAATAATGATTTTTAAAAAACCCTTGCTTAAATTAGCAATTTTATATTGGTGTGTTAATGAGATAAGTAAAGCCATGGTTTATTCTTTAAGTCGAATTTATCAAAGGAGAACTTAAAAATTATGCAAATTTCATTTTTCTTGGATATGGATTGGAGAAAAATTTTTATGTGGAATTAAATCTCTTAAAAAAAGAAACAATAGAAGATTATATTAATTTGCAATAACTTCTGCAGAAAATACTGTGAGAACAATATTTACATTCCAAGTTGAGTCTTGCAAAAGAGAAGTTCTTAGGGTAATTTATTTTAATTTCATTTTCAATGGCTGAATACATTACAACTATAGTAAATAGAAGGTAATAACAAGGTCAAACAAAAGCAATTTCAACTTTCCATACAGGCAATACTGTGTCTAGCCCTCTAATATCTTTTTTTGAGATGTTTAGTGCAAAGCAAATAGTTTGCATCATTTCTTTTTGAAGATAACACTTTTAAAATTGAGTAACATGACATTGAGTTAATAAATTGAAGTTAGGAGAGACATTCAGGACAAGTAGTGTAGTTGGATGTAGCTACCCATACTGAAGAACCCTCTGGGGAGGAAGCTCTCAAGAAGGTTACATCGTTTGGAAAAAATATGTAGACCATTGAATATTGCTTAGCACCATCAGAAGGTTTGGTTTCAAGCTCATGTGTTTTTACAATGTAAGAATACTATAACATAATTGTGAATAGTTTCATTACTTATCATTTCAAAAATCGTCAGTTTCAGTTGAATAATATATTATCAACCGCCATTTTATTCTTACATAACAAGATGTCCAGGAGGTTTTCAATATCTCATTATTTAGCTACCTTGTGTTCACAATAGTATACCACATGTGAAACCAATTCAAAGCTTTAACCTTGACATAATGTTCATCAAATGTTTCTTTTACATAGTTTGCAAATAGACATGGTGAAAATCTCAGTCCCTGACTATTAAAATCTGGTTACAAACTGACACTAGTTTGCAATTTTCAATAACAAAAAGGCAAGCGTACTAGTGGGCATAGATTTGAGTTTCTATTCTTGATTTATTTTCCATCGCATTATCTTATAAAACATGGTTAGGGCATAGCCAATCATGAAAATCCAAAATCCATATGGATACGTAGTTGTAACAACCATCTTTATATTACGAGAGATTTCTTATTTACTGGTGATGTCTTATTGGCAGCGGCTTTGATTCCAGATATAAGTGTTTGAAATCTGGACTGGAAAAAGAAATAAAGTGATAAACGTCAATCTCAGCTCAGATTTTCTTCATCTTCAACCTCTTATCCACTGATGGTCTCTAAGATCAAAGTCGCTACCGATAAGTGTCTAAAAAACTGGACCTGAAAATGAAATAAGGTGGCAAACATCGTGCTCAGCTCTTCCTTTCCTTCAGCTTTTACCCCTTTATTCTCTGAGTATGTTTGAGAGACATTCAGGACCAATAGTGTAGTTGGAGGTAGCTACAAATTCTGAAGAACCCTCAGGCTACATCGTACAAAGAAATTGTAGAGTTCAGGATCGAAGCCACTACTAATAAATTCCCAGGAACTGGATAAGAAAATAAAGTGACTGCATTATCCTTAAAATTTCAATTCATTTAGAGTCATTCATCATCAACTTAAGACTGCATAATGATCCATGTGTATGCGTGAGCTGATGATTGACTGTTTCTAGGATACAAACAACCACTTGTTGCAGATGAAGTAGATGCCCTAACCATGCAACCTGAAAATTAAAGCATATAAAAAATAACTCAATATTTCTTAGTGGTAAAGAACATTGTTAGACTTGCGAAGCTAATTGTCAGTATTCATAATAAAAGAAATTACCTCCAATAACAAACAAAAAGTTCATATTCTAGAAAAAAAAATCAAGTTGAAAGTTTATTTAAAGGTATGTAATTTGTTTTATAAGTGTGTCTTTGTTTATTTAAAATTTGGAACAAAACTATTTAAAAAATGTTCTTATAACATTATTTAAATTTTAATTCTAATAATTTTATTTTTTTAAAATTATAAAGAGTATAAGTAATCTTTTGTCCTTATTTATTCATTAATATTCCTTGTTATCTTTAACAATTATAGAAGTCGTAGTTATAAGAGATCAAAATATGAAAAAAGAAAAGGTCCATCAATTTCACCAGTGAGACATCCTTCATCATTACCTATTCCTCATGATCGGCGTGATCCGTCACCATATCAGGATAGCAGGTACTTAAATACTAGATCAGTACCTCACATTAGTCCTCATGATCGATTGGAACCAATACCTCCGAAGAAAAAAATACGACGGTAAGTTAAAATGTTAGATATTTGTACAACTTTAATTGTGGTTAGTTATATTCATTGCGTATAGATTGTTTTGTTGTAAATTGTAATAAATTCAGAAAATTTTAAACAGTTTTATTGTTGAACTAAATTAATTTTATTTCTTAATTTTTTAATGTATATTGTTTTAAATTAAAATTGGTTTGCTACACTTTTAAATAAAATTTTATTCTTATTTTTGTGCCTATAGATAGCTAAATAATTTATTATACTTATTTTAATGACCTATATCTTTAATTTTTTGCAACTTAATCTTATTTAATTACAGAAAATTATATATCTTATCACTATATTTGTTTTTATTTATATTAACATATTTATACATTTTTATCTACACTTAACCAAATATTTACTTCATTTCTGTTTTACAAACAAACTTAAGCTTTGAATTTGTTGATGAAATGTGTTTAACTCAAATAACATTAAGATGTTTATATTTTAAGAGAGCCTGATAGATTTCCTCGCAGCCCAAGTCCTGGTATACTGCGCAAGTCTTCAAATGAGATACCTTTCATATCAGATGGCGGAATAGCTCTTCGAAGTGAAATAAGTCCTCTGCCCTCAGCCATGCCAATGATTTCTCGTGGCTACTTGCCAGTCTCTGGGCATAATGAAAGGGTTGAGCGCAATTACCGTACACAGCATAGGTTTGTATTTACTGTCATTGGTTTTGTAGTTACTTGAATAACTAAAAAATGTTTATTATCTAATGAAATTAGTTGCATGGAAAAAATATTACTCTTATGTAATATTATGAAACTTTAAATATTATCATAATTTTATCTCTTAGATTAGCATAATTTTAACTTAATGCATGTATTTCTTTGATAGATTTGACAGATTCCACTTTCTGTAAATTATTTGCTTTTTTTAAATTAATCTACAACGGTTATTTACAATTACAACTGTAAATAATCTACAATCTTTGCAAATCGTTTTTGCCAACATTTACACCTTAGTATAAGGTATCAAAGTTTTATTAAATTTCTAGACCAGAAAAATACCTTAACCTTCTCACTCCCATGAAAATGACTGGGTGAGGTTTTGCCCTCTATTTCTTTCTCCTGTGATATTTCTGGGTAGTAATGCGGCAGTAAGAATAAAACTAATTTATTTCTTTTGCCCGGAAAACGTTTTATTTATCATTTTACACACCAGATGGCAGTACCAGGATATTTTTAAGGTAATTGTAGATAGTTAGTTTATTTTAAACTAGATGTCAGCACTAATCGGATACGTGTATTTGGCAAAATAGGCACTTTTATGTCAGTTTTCTTGAAAATTAACCGATTGTTAAGGGGTTAAGCACTTAATCAGAGTAATTTGAATTCCTTATTTCTTAAAGTTGAACGATTTTTGTCTATTGTTTTTCTGTATCTATGATTTATGTGTATTTTCTTCTCTTGTTTTAGTCCTTCTCCAGTGCCAAACATTCAGTCAAAAAGACAACCTCCTCCAATGAAGAGTGCTTACGAGACTGCTGTTGCCGACAGATACAAAGCTGATATTCCTAGCTCTGGATTTCCATCAGGAAGTGATAAAAAATACAATCTGACTCTACATGAAAGATTTAGCACTGTTGAAAGTGAGCCTCGCATCAGATACTCAAGAGAAGATTTAGAAAAAATAACGATAGATATCCGACGAAACATACGAGAGCCTTCACCGACCCTGCGTCAGATTGTCAACCCAAGTGATGTTAAATTAGTCAGGCGTGCTAATGAAGGTCACAGACCTATATTTGATAGAGAAGAAATTAAGCAAGCTCCAAGAGATATGAGAGAAGATGCATATTTTGAAAAGAAGACTACATCAAGCGATAATAGATCATACCAACAATCACATTCCATGGGTTTTAGAGATGTTGAGAATTATGAAATTACTCGACATAGATTTGATGGTCATCCTCCACCATTTCAATCTTCTAGTAACCGTCCACTCAGTGAAAGGTGGCAAGGTTCTGATGGAAAAAAAGATAGTGGCCCTTTGGATCAAGTATGAATATTCAACTTCTAAAATTATCATTAATTGATCATTTTATTGTTGGGTTCCCACAGTGTCAAAGCAAGCTCGAATTGTCAAAAAATATATCACTGTTTTGGTAAAATATTGCAACACACCTTTGAAATTCACCGGAACAATAAATAGCCAAACAGCTTAACTCTAAATAAAACTTAAAATCGATTACAATTATTTCTCATAATAGTTTGCATGGTTAAATTTTCTTAAATTTATTAAAATAAAAAATAAAGAACTAGATCATACAAAATTTTTAATTATTTGTAATTAATATTCTAATTTCTTAAAAGATTCTATTTTTTTCTTCTTAAATATAACCATATTTGCTGTCCTAAAATACTATTCATTATCCTGGCATTATAGTTTAGTAATATTTATGAAATACTGTTCCTGATTATTTATATATATATATATTTTTTTTTTAATCAAACACTTCGGCTTTAAGGAGAAATCGCCCAGACTAAAAGTTTCATGCTGCCTACTGCTATGGTAACAGAGAGCTCATTTCCAATAGCAGTGCGTTGAAGTCGATTGACCACAAAGCCAAGATTCTCACTTCGACCTGTGCCAAGATCAAGACATGAGTTATTAATATTACACAAAAACAAAAGTGATCTTAAACTAAGATTGCAGGTGGGAAAAAACTTTTTTTAAAAGGGAACAATATTCTAAAGAACCCATTTTTTTAAATCAGTTTTTTAAATTTCATAATTAATCCCATAATGTTAACCAAAATAAGTTAAATTTGAAAGCTAATTTCAACTTTCTTTAATTACTAATCAAAATAAAAGATCTTTATTTATCCAATGATAATACACATTGGAAAATTATCTTTAATCATATTAAAAAAACAGTATAAATGAGTAAACCTAAATATTTGTGACCTAAAACCTTAACTTTATTATAAAACTATTTAACAGTGACGTGATTCCTTATTAAATTGAGTGTAAATAAGTTAGATTCTCTATGACTCAGGCATTAATTGAGGGGTTTGATGTAACAGCAATGTGTCTAGATTCTGAATTTTTGGCCCAATACAAATGAAATTTAAAATTATAATAGTTTTGTATAGTTTTCTTCTACACTTTTTACCACACTCAAGAGGACTAACCTTACATTTGCGTCTAATTACTGTACTAATTAAAGCTAAATTGTCGATAGTCAAAAAGGGGGGCAGAATTATTTTTCTATCAGATCATCTCAATTTATAGTTCAAGTTTAATTAATGTATTTTATTATTGTTCTTTGCATCGGAAAAGCATCGCTTAGTATGTTGATTTCATTATTTATTAAAGTATGTATTGATTGTAAAATAGTTTTATTCAATTAACTCTCATTTTCTTTAGGATGACAGAATGTATGAAAAAAATCAACCTAAAAAAGGCTATGTTGAAGTGAGAAACCGATCAAAGTCACGTGACAGGGATTTTCGATCTGAAAGATATACTGGTAAGATCAAAAGTAAAAATAGTAAGTATTATTTTTTGTTACTAAAGATACGTAAGTTTCATATTGTTTAACATAAAATCTTCAATTCTTCCGTGCTGAATATCTCAGTTTTAGAATACTAAAAAACAAAATAAGATGTTTCTATAATATAAATGTATGATGTTTCTTTACTAAGTGACTTAGGAAAAAAAAATTAGTTTAATGCTGGTTTGTACATTCTTATTGAAAAAATTAATGTGTTTTTCTTCCTAACTTTTTATTATGGTTTTTCGAAGCTCTGTCGCCAAGGAAAATATTTATGTGTCTTACACTTGAAGCAAAGCAATGATTTTTAAGTATATATATCATCTTGACGTGAAAAATTATTTGAGTTTTCAATTGGACAATTAGCTTGAATCTTTAAAAAGTTATTAAACTTTTTTAAAAATTGCCTATTTGGCGAAATTTTTCCACCTAGATGAAAATTAACAGAATAACTGCCTCATTCTCAGTTTTTGCAAATTTTTATGAGCGGAGATAATGCAGCATTAGAGTAAGATTTTAAATATTGAAAAAGTAGACCAAAAATGCTTTTCATTCTCACAAAACTTTGGCTTTTCACAATATTAATATTTTGCCCCATTTTCAGAATGAGAATAGACAGCGCTAACTTTAGATTGGCTAATCTTTCCTTACAGTCATGAGTAACTGCTGCAAAATGACAGCAGTTATAACAATACAATATTACTCGCAAAAAGGCAACATTTGATTTGACAATGACTCCCTAACTTTACCGTTCATTATAAATTATAGATAACAGGGAACGACAAATGAAGATCAACACGAAACAAAGTAATAAAAAATAACAAAGTAATAAAAAATAAATTTGCAATAAGTTTAAAAAAAAAGGACAAAAATTAAAAGTTGTTATACTTACTGCAAAAATATTTGTATATTTTAGTTAAAACATACTATTTTTCAATGCAAACGATAAATTTTTGGCATTTGTCTGACAGATTGCTGGTCTTTTTCTGTCAGTTCATGTGAACACAGAGGGTATCTCATTATTTTAAAGGTTTTGTCGTCAACTGCAAATGTTGGTGTTGGTTGTGGTTCTGTTTAACCGTCTTCATTGGTATCATTTTGCACTTCTTTAACTTCTGCAACCATTTCTTTAAGTGACACCATACCACAAGTTTCAACATTTTCATGAACTGATGCATAAACTTAAAATATGATGTTTGGAGTATTTTTCTCAAACTTACAAATCCTTATTTTCTTTTTCTTCATTAGCAGAGTTGCTGTTTTTCTTTTCAAAATGAAGTAAAAAATTAATTTCTTTATTGATTACAGGGGTGATTGCATTCTGAGTATACCGAGTTTTTACCGAATATTAATGGGTGTTTACAATTTTTTAAGTTGTAGAATGATGATTTTTTTTTTTTTTTTTTGCTAAAATTGTTGTTTAAAACTAATAGTTCCCTGTAAAACCATTGCAAAGGATCTTGTTTAATTTGCATAAAAACTAAAATCTCTTTGAATATGATCTTAAACCTCTATATTCTTGTGTTAAGATAAGAGTCGCAGTTGGTGTAAAATCTGAAAATGTTTCATGTTCTATTGAAAAAATATATATATATCTTTTTTATGCTTAAGATGTTTTATTGTACTGTATGTAAAAATATGTTTTTATTCTACAGGAAATTTTTATATTAATTTATTATAACTGTACACTATACCATACACACTTGTACATACGATACTCTATCTATACAAACTCGTAATTGATTTATTATTTTGCTAATATGTCTATTATTTTTTGCATTTCAGGAGAAGTATCACATGGTAGACCAGAATATATTGAAAATCGCAGTCATGGACCACCACCATCTGAAGTAAGGTAAGTACAGTTTTATTTTCAATTAAATTTCCAAAATTTAATAAGATAGACCTCTTGAAATCTATCATCCAGATTCATAGTTTCTAAGTTTTAGTTTTTTTTTTTTTTTTTAATTAAGAAAAATTTAATGTAAATTTAAAAATCCAAAGCAGCAATAACCTTATTTTTTAATGCCGAAAGACAGTAATTACAATTGTCGGTCACTTCAAAAGCTCTATTTTGTGCTGATGTATTTCTGATTTGTATTCTTTTTAGAAATTTTCTTTTTTTATGTTGTCTAATTTTTTTCCCCAAGAGTTTAATCCAAAATTACATTGACTATAATAATTTTCAGAGCACAGATCATTCGCAAAGAAGCACACCATGAAACTCGAAGGTTAGGTATGAAGGAAAGCAGAGGTTTGTCTCCTCCTCCACGCTCTGAATCAAGAAGTCATTTATATCCTGTACCTGATAAAAGATATCCTGAAGGCATATCAAGAAGTATGGGAATTGTATTGTTATTTTTATTGCTTTGTAAAAAAAATCAGTTCTTAAATTGCTGTTTTATTCTTATATTGTAATTTTCTAAATAACCAACTCTTTAAACTGTTTTTAATTAAATAATTAGATTTTCTTAAATAAATTGCAACTTTCATAGTTTCTGAGGCGAAAATGAAATGTGCTATTGAATTTAATTTAAATAAAAAACAAATTTTAAAATAACATACTTTTTCTGGAGTGAATTCAACACTTCAAAATTATTGAAATGGATTAAATTTGTATATTTAGATTTATAATTAAATTAAAATAATTTTTTTTTCTCTACTCGTATATTTTATTTTTTATCATGTGTACTAACCAAGATATATCTTTCTTTTAACGTATAATATAATTTTAAAAAAAGAATAAAAATTTCAAAACAAAATGTGATATTACACTTTTTGAAAAAAGGAGTTTTACATTTTAGAAAATGTTGTGTATTCTTACCAATTAAGTGTTTAACATGAACATTTTAATTAACAATAGCAATTGTATCCTTTTAAAAACATATTCTGTATAAAAAAAATTACAATTGTTTTTTTAATATACCTAAATATTTTTAACAGTGAATAAACATAGCATGAGACGTTCCCGCTCACCAGGTATGGATTCACGCAAGTACAGACAAAGAAGCAGATCTAGAGACGATAAAATTCCAGAATATTCCCGTAAACCAGATAAATATCCTTTCAAATCATGGCCAGATAAACGAGATTCCTCTCCACCAGGACCATCCTATTTTGCGGTACTTATGTTCCTAAAAATATTTCATAAGCCTCGTTGATTAGATGTTGCTATGTATAACTGCCTTTTTTTTTTTTTAAATTCCTATTAAATTTTGTTTTATTGTAAGGTTAAGTATTATGAGTAATTTTAACATTCAATAGTAAATGTAACATAAAAATCTTTATATGTACCAGAGCCCTCCAATTTGATAGTAGTTATGATTTTTAAAATACAGTACAGAAACATTTATCAGGCATCTACGAAACCGGGGACATTTTTGCTCGGTTTTTCCATTATTTTGAGCTTGAAGGATTGGGGGGGAAGCGAAAATTTCACTGCTTGAAGTTGAGTAGAGAAAAATTTGATTGGGGTAATTTTCTCCCCACTTCTCAAGAGCAAACTTCAATATTTCTTCTGTGACCTTGAGATCTTAGGGAGGAGATAGGGCAGGGAAAAGACGAATGTTTTATTTTCTCCTGTGTGTAGGAAAGAATAGTTATTTTTCTGATAAGCTGCTGTCCATCAAAGATAAAGGATGCTGATTTCTTTTTCCTTTGATTTACATGGGGGTAGGAGTAATTTATTGCACATGCATATCTGTGAACAGAAGATGAAAGAAAAATATATCCCTATACTTTACGAAGAAAAAGTAAAAAAAAGTGAAATGGAAATACGAAATATTAATTGTAATATGAAAACTATTAAAATATGGCTATTTTTGTATTCAATAATAAAGTAGGAAAGTAATTAAGTTGAATTTTATCATTTAAAAAATAATGAGAAGAATTTAGTTATTTATATATAAAGTTTAGACAATAAATTGTCGGGGGAAAAGGCTATTTTACCCCAAAAGCGGGTATCACCATTGTTAGAGTATTTGGCGCGATAAAATTGCTAGATTTCACTCTTTATTTTTTCTTAATATCATAATTTGCGCTTTTAAAAATTTAGAATTAAAAATTTGGATTTTTAAAAATACAATTTTTTTAAACCAACCATCATTTAGTGCACCTTAAAGATTCTTCTATTATTCTTAATATTTTCTGAGTGCTGTCAGTTGGAGGTAAGGAATTTGAAACTTCTGCCTCAAGAGTATTGACGTGTTAGATTTTTTTTATACCACTTTAGTTACTCAGTTTTATTTATCCTTGATTTATAATGACAAATTAGGATGTAATTTCAAATAATACATTATTAGGACAATTAATTATTATGAACAAAACGTTTTTTTATTGTCTGTTATATTTTTCTGTTCCGCGTCGATTAACAAAAAAATATTTTTCAATTGAATAAATTCTGATTCTTCATAAGTGATTCATCATTTGCAAGTTTTGCTTGGTTTGGAATCACGTCTGTTTTAATAAAAGAAATATAAGATTGTTTATTAATCTAAACATCCAAATATTAAGTTTTTTTTTTAATAACTTATTCTTCTGGATTAAACTTGTAAATGTTTTTAGTCTTTTGAATGTTATTTTTTCTACCATTTTTTTTTTTAATTTAGTAGAGCTTCTTTTCTTGTTTTTTTTATTTTATTTTAAAATGTGTTTCTCTTTTTCATTATAATTTGTGTTCAATGAAACGTAGATTGACAGCACTTTTAGACTGTTCCAGAAAACCGAGAAATTCAAACATCTGGGCTAGCAATGGTCCCGAGCATACCCGATAATTGGTTCACTACTGTATTACATAAACCTCATTAATTGAACATCTCAATGACTCTTCTTTTTTTTTATTTAAATAAAATTTTAGTTTTTTAACTTATTTTATTGTTAGCACTATAAAACTATAAGTAATTTTAACATTTAATATTAAATTAAACATAAAAATCATAAGAATTCACAAAATAAGTTAATGTTTTTTACAGTTTTGTAAGAGTAATGTGCGGTTTTAAGTTTTGCAACTTTTTGCTTTATTTCTTAATTAGCCTAATAAAGATTTGTCCCCACCACCTTATCGAGGACGTAGTAGCTCTAGACCTTTCCGTGGTTCAAGAGGTTTTCGTGGAAGAGGATTCAGAGGATCGCCGAGGGGTGGTTTTCGAGGAAGAGGTTCTTTCCGTGGCTCTCCAAATGCAAGGGGTAGAGGAGGACCTCGTAGTAAGTAACATTAGCTAATACACATATTTCAGTTTTATTTTTTTGCAAATATGTAATAGTATTCAATATTTTTTTACCTATAAAGGCATAGATAAAACAAAATTTATATGGTATTATTATTTAACCCACAGTAAAACCTGAAATGAATATACAGGGTGTTTATGAAGTCCTGGGCCCATTTTGATGTTTAATAACTCATAAAATAATAAAGATAGCAAAAATAATTAAAATCATGTCGGCATCCACAGAGGCGGTTGTAATTCTGGCTTTTGGTCATCAATGTTCGACACGATCCTCCTGTAAACATTGACCTTTATAAATCCCCAAAGAAAAAAGTCCAGCGGCATTATATCAGGTGATCTGGGTGGCCATAGAATTGGAACTCCTCACCCAATCCATTTTCCTGGAAAATGGTCATTCAAAGAACTACGAACGATGATACCCCAATGAGGTGGTGCACCATATTGTTGCAAAAAAACATGTGGCTGAAGCTCTTCTAGTTGTAAAAATACGAAGTTTTCCAACATGTCTAAGTATACGATTGATGAGACTGTCTTTCAAATATATCAAGAATAACTGCAATTTTTCATTCATTCTGACAAATTAGTTTTCAAACATATTTAATTAAAAAGTTTATTGTGTGTTTACTTTTTTTCTTATCATCAAAATATATATATCATCAAAACTGCTTTATCCTCCACCTCTAAATAATAGTAATCTTCAAAGAGTGGCCATATCCTTAAGGAACTGAATTTTTTCATTAAAGGAAACCTCTTATCAGCGATTTCAGAACAACTGCCTTCAGTTGCATTTCACTGTGTATCTTAGTAAATTATATCACTTTTTCTTCTCTAGATTGTGATAATTTTTATTAACCCTTACTAAGCATAATTTTCCTCGTTGGTCTCTGGATTGTAGTCATTGTAAAAGAATAATTTTTAAGCACTCATACAAAGTCAATCATATTTATGATTTGACAGTTTAATTCCGCCTTCTACTGGTAACTCACATCTTTCATGGATGGTCAGTACGAAGGTTGCTATTTATATTTCTGGCCTTGGCAACAGTAAGTGTTGCTAGGCGACCGCAGACGATTTTAATCGAAAGTTTGATGTTTTTAAACATAAATTCAGCAGACGATTTACCATTATAGCTTCATTTGTGTTGTTGACAGTAAATTGAAAAGTTCTTCTCTTTCAAAAAATGGAATTGAATCGTGAACATTTTCGTGCCATTATTTTTCATAACTTTCGACGTGGATTGTCAAGACAAGAGTGCTTCGATGAACTTAATTCTTTATTCAGCGATAAAGCGCCATCCTACAGCACTGTAAAAAATTGGTATAACGAATTTAATCGTGGTCGATGTTCGATCCAGGACGAATCCCGTGCAGGTCGTCCAAAATCCGTTGTTGTGCCAGAAAAGATCGATGCTGTGCGTGAACTGATAAAGCAAGATCGTCATGTGACATACCGTGAGATAGAGGCGTCTTTGGACATTAGTATGACTAGCATCAATAAAATATTGCATGAACATTTGAGCGTAAAAAAAATTTGTTCGCGTTGGATCCCGCATAATCTGACAAACGCTCAAAAAAAGGCTCGTGTCGATTGGTGCAAGGAAATGTTGGAAAAATACGTTCAAGGTACATCAAAGGCTGTGTATAACATCTACACAGGTGACGAATCATGGATCTATGCATATGAGCCGGAAACAAAACAGCAATCAACTGTATGGGTCTTCCAAGACGAGGCAAAACCAACAAAAGTTGTTCGAGGAAGAAGCACATCGAAACAAATGATTGCCTGTTTCTTCGGCATTAACGGTCATGTGGCAACAGTGGCGTTAGAGCAACGCAGGACGGTCAATTCTGAATGGTACACGACCATTTGTTTGCCAGAAGTCATCGGAGAAATTCGAAAAAAGCAGAAGAACAGGCGAATCATTCTTCATCATGACAATGCGAGCTCTCACACATCGACTCAAACAAAGGCATTTCTGACGGAGCGAAAGATCGAACTGATGGGTCATCCGCCGTACAGCCCTGATTTGGCACCCAATGACTTCTTCTTATTCCCACACATCAAAAATAAATTACGTGGACAACGATTTTCGACCCCCGAAGAAGCGGTTGATGCATTCAAAACGCATGTTTTGGAGTTACCTCAATCGGACTGGAAAAAGTGCTTTGAAAATTGGTTAAAACGCATGCAAAAGTGTATTGATCATCATGGAGAATATTTTGAAAAACCAATTTCGATCCTACATATTTGTTTTTTCATTATTAGGCCAACAATATAAATAGCAACCCTCGTATGAATCTTTTTCCAGCATTTATGATAGTCAACAATTCCTTAATGTGTCATCGTTCAATCTTTTTTTTAGGAGGAAGATTCTCTCCACATTTATGGGAACATGACATGTATCGACTGTCTCCTGATCGCAAATAGGTAATTTTTTAGTGAAATTTATGCATAAGTCATTTAATATTTTTTTCTGATAGCTTGTATTCAAAATTTCTTACAATCTATGGTCATATTTTCAGTTGCTATTTTAGGTACGGTATATTTCAAAGTATGAGTCGAAACCTTATTTTTAAATTTTAGATAGCTAATTTCTGATATGTCTGGTAAGTTAGTCGGCCGCTTAAAAAACCGTTCATGAAAATTTCTGTTCTTTGTGAAATCTTTTAAAAAGTGTGTAGTTTCTAATTCTTTGGATGGGAATGAAGACAATTTTTTGTGGATTTCCACAGATGAGGAAGTAGAATCCATTGCAGAGTGTAATCTATATGACGACACTACTAACGTTATTGAATCTCGCACTGATAATCTTTTAGAACTTTTAAATTTATAGTATGTTTTAAAAGTTTTCATTGTGTTACATTTTTTGAAATAATCTTGAATAAATTAACTTAACTTTTCTTATTCTTAATTTTTTTCTTAAAATAACTTAAGTATTTCTAAAAAAAAACATTTTTGTGTAAATAAATGGCAAAATTATTTGTATAAAACACATTAAAAAATAGTTATTGAAAGGGATTAATTGATACATAGTTATTCATATCTATCTCATTTTTTATATTTCCTAATCAACAAAGGTCTAAGTTTATGGAGAGTGTATAAGTGGACCCGCTGATTTTTGTAACATTTTAGGGGGTTAAAAAGTTAATTTATAAACCAAGGTATACAGTATTTCTATTTTCATTTGAATGTACTACTATTTGGGTGGTTGAATTATTTTCTTTTCAATCCTTTAAGAACTAAATGCTACTGCATTTTATTATTTGTTACAATTTGATAATTTTTTTAAAGAAATTTTATTATAGAAAAAATTTAATGCTTTATGTTCATAAAAATTTTTTTAAATTTTGAAAAACTGAGATTCATAACTAATGATTAGGGTTGTAAGTTTTTTAGTAGCATAAAATGTTAAGGAAAATAGACCAATAACAAAATGACATTTTTAAGAGTTGGGACAATGTACTAACTGAGAGAAGTATTCATTAAAGATGGCTAGTATTTTCTGGAACGGGTATTTTGTATTTACTATTGAATCATACCTGTTATAAAAGTTACCTGTTACTTCCAATGACCTGTTCCAAAATAGTCAGTAAAAATTGTGATTCAATTATGTTGTCAAAAGTTTATTTTTCTATTTTTTATTATGTTTAAACTGTCCTTGAATCATGTTTGTACAATTTTACATAAGAAAAAATTAAATGGTCACGTTTTTTATCAAGTGATTGTTTCAGAGTCATCGCAAGGCATTGGGAGTAGCCTTGCAAGTTTTCTATAATAGATATATAAAAAAATTCCCCAACAACTCAATCTCCTTTTTTTCATTATAATATATTCTTAAGTGTTGAATTAATAGTTGGAGGGAAATTGATCCAATTTCGGAAATCTAAGAAACGTTGTGCCAAAATTTTTATTTGATGTTTGTCTTGCCTTCAAGTAGTGGGGACACTGAGATGTCGTTTCAAAATTTAAAATATGTTAAGTGATGAAAGACAAAATATAAATTAGAATAATTTGACAATGTACAATACTTTAACCAAAAGAATTTTAAAAAAAATTTCATTTGTTAATAGTGTACAAAATTTTTCAGTTAGATTTGTTTTTTTTTTTTTTTTTTTTTTTTTTTCTTCTATTTAAATTTTCTTACCGTGTTTTTTTTTTTTTCTCAGTGTATATATTATGATTTTATTTTATTCTAAAAATCCTGCCAAATTTACAAAATTCACTCTTTTTTTTCCCCCTCATGACGAACTTGCAATTCTACAATCATTCTATTCTATTTACATGCTTCATTTATTAACTTTTGATTTACAGGACTATTCTCAGATGTGCACCATTGCTCGATCAAGTATTCTGTTATTTCATGTAACCTAGATATTTACAGCTTTTTATTATTCATCTTGTCATTAATTTGTTACTTCATTAATTCCAAAATAAAAATGTTGTTACTAAGCATAGTATTTCATTCATTAAATAATAGGCTCTCAAAAACAAGAGTGGTTTATTTTTACATTTTATTTTTTAAAAAATCTGTGTTTCTACTATAGTAGTGTTTCTACTATAGTAGTGTTTCTACTATAGTAGTGTTTCTACTTTTTGGGTTATATGTAATCCCTTTACATAACCTTCAAATTTATTGAACAATAATACTAGATTAAACATTTTATCTTTACACTAAAACTCACAACACAGCAAACAGTTAGCGAGAATTCCTTAATATATATATTTTGACATACATTGATACATTTTTTGTTCATATCTTACTTTTTTTTTATTTTTTAATTTAGTTGTTATTGGGAGTTTTAACATATTGACTATTAGACAAATGACACACTGACTCCCTTTGTGCACCAAATGGGATTCATTGGGTAAATTGGGATTCAATGAGTAAATTGGGATTCATTGCATTGTTAATTAAAATATTCCTGGTGAGTTCACGTGGAGTTCTCGATAAACTGCTAGCCACAGTTCTAAAAACCTCAAAGGCCAGTTACAATAGTGTTAAAAAATACACTGTTCTAACCTTATAAAGCAAGACTGCTCTATCTTACTATTGGTTATATAAACAATCACTTTTGTTCTTTCTCACACTTATAATAAAGGAAATGTACGTTTCTGAAAGCAGCTAGTTTTTTCAATATTTGAAAATTAATTTATGTATTTTGTTCTTAGTGTTCTGTTTTATTTGTTCATCTAAGTTTCCATGGATAAAGCCTCTAAAGAAAAAAAAATAGATCCGAAATAAAAATCTAATTTAGTTAAACTCGTGGGACATTGAAATAAACTATTTTTTAAAAAAAGTCAAACAAATTGATAGAAAATACATACATTATAACAACAATAACTCCCAGTGTAATTAGCCAAGGAAATTAATTTGCTGAGTTTAAAAAGCCCTGTGGCAGGGATTGTTATGATTGTACCTAAAAAAACTGAGGTGGGTTTCTTTAAAAAAAATTGGGAAAAAAACATACCTAGTTGGTTTTTTTATAATTGCATTTTATTATTATTTTATCAGCTCTAGATATTAAGCTTATAATAGGATAAATTATGAACTACCTACATTGAAATATAGCACCTTTTAACATGAAATACTTGTTCTAAAATTATTGTTCTGATGTTTTCCTTGTTGTTGAAATACTAGACCTTATTCTAGAACAACGGTTCCCAGATGGTAACCATAGGGTTCAGAGAGTTTAACTAGTTATGATTTGTAAAACCTGTTATTAAATTTGTATAATATTTCAGTTATTTTTACAAAATTAATTATTAATATAATTGTAAACAAATAATATTCAAAAAAATATTTTTTTTAATAACAATATAATTAATATAATGAACGAATAAGGATATGCATTTTTAAAAAAATGTGTTAGTCTTTCGCAACGAAGAAAAATAACCAAATTCAACTGAGAAGTCTTATTTCTCTGATAACCAATCCTAGTGTTTATTTTTTTTTTGCTTTTTCGTTTTTATTTTAACTGGAACAATATTTCAACTCATTAATTTTAAATTAATACATGCATCAAATATTTAATTAAAAACTAGACTTGATGCCGCACTTAGACCTATGAATTCAACTGTCCATAAAAACCAACTTTAAGACTAGGTTTTATTAAATAATATGATGAATAAATTTCACTCTCCATTCATTCACTATATATTAACGAAATAATTAATATTCTTTCGTTAATTAATTTGTTCACAATCACTAAAGAATTTTATTCATTTAGATTCAGGGTTCTGCTAAAATGAGTTGGTCATTTAGTATTCCACAGTAAAAAAAAAAAAGAGAACTGCTGTTCTAGGAGCTCTATCCTTTCACTGTACATAACATAGGGCAAAATAATACAGTTTGAAAAGTAATGCAGTGCCCCATAGTATAAAAACATGTTGCATGTTAAAAATTTACTTTGAAAATGAAAATAGATGTTTTCCATGCGCATTGAAATAAATAATTTATTTCTTCACTTAAACATTCAGTTCTTTTTTCGCAATTCTAAAACAGAATAGGTAAACCAGAGTAGGTACAAAGATAATTGGATTATTATTGCTAATTTATCAACGTAAATTATGATAATGAAAGGTATTAATAGTTATGGTTATTAATGGATTAATCAAATTCATGGTATTTATTAATGCTGCAGGCCTTACTCTAGGAATATAAAGAAAAAAATTAAAAACTATCTTGAAAATAAAAACTGGTTTTTTACAACCCTGAAACATAAATATATAAAAACACTCCAGAAAGTTGTTTCCCATGGTAAGGATTAAAACCTCCTGATGTCAATTGCCTAGTTTCCTAGCAATAAGACTTATCTAACAAACATGTATTGTTATTTTTGGTTCTTTCTGTAATATCATAAATTTCTTATATGGTTTCTCATTTAGTATTGGATGATTTATAAAATATTTGTTCAGTTTTTAAATCTAAAAAATTAGTGTGTAAAATACAATCCCATTTGATCCTGGTATAACTGACAGTAGTAAAGGTACTTAAAGAATGATTGTATTTTATAATATAACCGTCGTTGAACAGCTGACCCAATTGTATGGGTTTACGGCCACTAATGTTCAACTCCGTAGCCTTCTAACTTTGAACCCAATCCAGAAGATAAGAGAACTACTGGATCAGGTAATGGGAGAAATTTCCCTTTGAAGGACTTTTTGATGGAGCTAACCCGCATTTGCGTTACATGGAGAGGAAGATCACGAGAACCTCCCACGGTTAGCCTGGCGGCAAGGGGACTTTAACTCATGATCCGTCTACCACTGAGGATATTTCATGTCAGCACAAGCCGGATGCGGAATTCGTATAGACTGGGATTCGAACCCGGTTCGCCTCGTTGGAAGGCGAACGCTCTATCCCCAGAACTATCGCGGCTCAAGAATGATTGTATGAAGCTGATGAGCGTAGAACTTAGATTGTCCTGTAGGAACTAATACATACTAGTGGCGCTTCAAATTTCTTGCTACAGAACACGCCGAAATTTGGAAAAGACAAGTATAAATATTATAAATGCAAAATAATACAAGCTTTAAAATAAGCAACATTAAAAAAATCCAATTATTATGCAATTTAATTATATAGTAACAGAGCTGAATGTGCTCCGGAAAAAATCCGGATTTTTCGCTAACAGTGATCCGGAAGTTTCCGGAGATCGAAAGTCCAGGCGTTTCAAAAAATCATTGATCACGGAAGTTTCCGGAAATCAAATTTTCAAAGGTGGAACTTAAAAACACAGTTTATTTTATTTGTTTGCGAGTTAGAGCCAGATACTTTATATGCTTATATTTATGATTAATATTCATTTTTTATCAGTAAATAGTTATTATAATCATAAACTCAAGAAAGAAAGACATATTTGTAAATTTTAATTACTTCTACAGGTCACCATAGGTATGTGTAAAATTTTAAAAGTAAACTAAGAAATATTGAGAAAAAGGAAGAAAAAACCTTGTTGAAATTTTTTTCTATATAAACTTTTTTTTTTTTTTCTTTAACTCAAGAAATTTTCCGGAATTTTGACTTGGGCTCACAATCACCCCTGTAGTAATATTTATTTTATAACCTGCGTTGAACAGTCGGTCCAATTCTGAGTTTATGACTATCAATGCTCAACTCCGTAGTCTTGTAATTTTGAACCCAACCCAGAAGACAAGGGAACTCCTAGATCAAGCATTGGGACTAACTAGCCTTCATTAAGGACTTTTTGATGAATCTAACCCACATATGTGTTACATGGAGTGGAAAACCTCCCAGGGTTAGCGGCAAAGTGATTGTATCACTACAGATATTTAACGTCGGCACTGTGGTCAGTGAATCTGTCGTAGCTCTTAGAATGAATACAGGGTTGCCGCAGGCGACTAAAATGCAACTATTTTCAGCATGAGGTGACTATGGCAACTTTTTTTGCCTGAAAAGGCTTAAAAAGCAACTATTTTTAGGAAAAGGAGACTATTGGGAGACTCCGTACTCCTGGAGATGTTTTTTAGCATAAATTGGGTTGAAAACCTGTAGTCCGTAAGAGCCTCTGAACACACTTAAATTTTTTTTTTCTTGAAAAATAATTTTGAATTGCAAATTTGATTTATCACTTTTTAATGCGTTCAATTAGCACAGATTACATTGTAATTCTATTTCGTTTCTCGAGCACCTGTCAATGGTTATTGCTACGAAAGTCCGCTTGATTTTTAAAAAACTCAATTTTTAATACGATATTATGATGCGTGAATTTTGAATTTGCTAATCACTTTTCACAATATATATGTATTTGCTAAATCAATTATTGATCAAAGGGAAAAATTTTTAGAAAAAGTAAGTTTTTTTAAAAACGTTTTTTGAATGAATTCTAGTAATCAAAAGTATTTAATTTTCTGCAAACATACTAATTTTTTTTTTATTTCAAAATTTAGTGCAAGAACACTTAACGTTAATATACAAATTATCCTATTTGCCACCAACTTGACTAAATTGATCGTGGTATATGTCAGGTCATATAATAAAATTTTAGTCATATTTTTGTTCTTATTTAGGAAACTATTTTCATAGTTTTCGGCAACTGTTTTCATTCTTTGATCTACTAAAAGCAACTATTTTGTTTATTTTTTTCTGTGGCAACCCTGTGAATATAATTTTAATGCGGGGTGGTCACTGTATTCACTATAAATAAAGTAAATTTAAATTAATTAAAGCAGAAACAGGAGTTTTGACACCTAAAAGATAAAATTTATAAAGGACAGATCTCTAATTGCCTTAAATGAAAGTCTGAACTAACTAAAACAGGATTTGTTACCCACTCTGATATCCAAATAAAGTAGTAGCAGCAGTTTAATCCTAGTCTGTGTAAGCATCATTTAATGGAAACTGCCAATAAAGGTTTAGTATTTTTTTTTTATGAAGAGAAATACCTTATTGGGAGGCCGGCTCTTCATGGTAAAGATATTATATTGTT